CCTCGAGCCAGCGCGTGGTCTGCTAAGTCGTAATATATGTACTGTATTTTTAAAAAGTCCTCTCTCAACTACAAAAAACAACGAATGACCCTGGTGCCAGGTGTCAGTCAGTGCAGCCCGGCTTCTTCCTCCGTGTGTGTACGGATGAACAGTTCTTCTACGAATCCTATCACACTGCCACTGCTGTGGCAAATTTGAATATCATTGATACAATCTCAAGTAATTAAACAATTTCCGACTTTAAGGAGTTAGGAGGCGAACGCCTTTGGGAGTTTCTACATGAACATTTGAGGCAGGGGGACGTTCTAGTCTACATCGGACACGTTGCGCCGCGCGGTACAGGGTCCCCAAAACTTCAAAGCTTGATTTCCGGGAGGCCGATATAGCCCACCTTTGGAACCAGAACCAGATCTATTGGGCACCGATTGGCGATTTGTCCACTTCTGAGGAAGAAAAAATAGCGCGCTCTTCGTCAAACCGGTTTGGTCGTGCTTCGGGAACATATGGCCGTTCTTCACAGGCATATGTGCCCAAATTTCGTAGGAGATCTTGCTCCCCAACCCCGGGGTTTCTACGTGATAAGTCACGCACAAAAGCGGAGATCGCACGCGCGCGCGATTCAAACCAGGACAAGAAACACCGACAGAGACGCAAGAACAGCACCAACAAACTAAACGCATCACTGCTGAGACGCTGGTCTGAGACCAGTTACGAAAACCAGGAGGGGGCGGGTCTATACGTCCTGTTCACCGTGGGTATACTGTAGGAATGCGCCATGTGTAACCTGGCGGGTGCTTATTGATGTTGAGTGGGTCCAATCGACTGCTCCAAAAAGAAGAGCAGCCCGATGATCATAATTGAACACACAAGCAACACACCTCCTCAAGTCCAGATCACACGTACCATCATCGAGAGAATCCGTCGAGGACGCGAGGGTCTACTGCTGCTGCTGCGCGTTATCGGGATGGCGCCCCGCGGGATCGGTTCAGATTGCGTACTTGCGCCGCGCTATGACTGTCTTTGCAAAAGCCGTGCCCTGCATGCTGTTGTTGCTGCTGCAGGGCCTCATGCATCAGAGTCATGACGTCATGACCATCAACGGCTTTGTTGTTGTTGGTTCATGCTGGACTCTGCTTGCTTTCACTTGGGCGGGAAACTCGGAGTGCTTGAAGCGAATGTGGCGGGCAAGTTGTGAGCCTGACGCAATATTCACCATCTGTCGTGTCACAATCTGTGTCTACGCTGCTGCTGGTCGTGCTCCTCGACGGTCTGATGTGTGATACGCTCGCCGCCAGGTGTATGCCGCATTCGTTCTTCTTCCACATGCATGTCCAGATGTGCGTGTTTGTGTCCGCGCAGCGGGAAGACTTACACATTTTGTTTCTTCGTGCATGCGCATCAAAACGGAAAAGAACAACCGCATGTAAGTGCAAAATTTTGAACGGTGGCCGCACATACAACCATCGTCGCTCCCGTCGCACGCCTGCTATCCCTCTGTGGTGAACGCGTAGTTGCACCACAAACGATTCACGCTGCTGTGTGTCGGGATTCGTGCACCATCAGCATCGCAGATAAGACTACTGCCAGGTATTGAGTCGCACCACGCGGCTCATTACCCCCCAATACCTAGTATTTGATCGTATGTAGATAGCTTGTCGGAAACGGGGTCATACAATTTGATCATTTGATTTGTGCATGCACATCGCCGCGGAGACAATCGAGCTTGGATATGGTTCCAAAGGGTGTGGTATCTTACGCAACCCAGGGTATTCGTGTATTTCACATTATCTATGCTATATGTAGTACAGCAGTGACGCTTTGCGAAACGGTGTAACGGTTGACCTGTTGTACAACAACTTCGAAGATGTATCTATATTTGTAGTATGCATAGCGGTGCGGTGAGTGGACTCCGAGAAGGTAGGCTTCGTTCCGGCCTGACGGCTTACAAATGATGTTTGTACATGTTCGTAAGACTAGCGGATTTTTATCTTCACATCAATCAGGATGTTGGTACTGCAGTGCCGCCTGACGGTTGCTGTTGCTGAAAGCCGAAAGGGCTCCCCGACATCGAAACGAAAGCACTCATCATCATGCACCCGACGCACCGCTGCTAAGGTAGCATGTGCTTTGTAGAGAACCTTACGCAACAATCGTACTATTCCTGTTGCCTTCGTTAGACGTACAGACGAGAGACAGAAGGAAGACCGTTAAAATGTACCACGTGCAGAAAACCAAACGCAATGTAGACTGGTGTAGCTAGCTCGGGCAGAGACGGTAGAATCCAATACAGAAAACAGCAGGGAATCAAACTATTTTGAAGCACCTCACTTCGTCCCAACGAACTTGGTCGCCACGTTTTCTTTCGCATAACTCGGCCTGCTGACGTAGCGACCTTCACCAGGCTTAGCTTCCAAACATGGCATGGTGTCCCTTTACGTTCGTACTGCACTCGAACTACCGACTAGCTCCGGGCCGGCTCTCGGCACGGCTCCCTGAAAGTGAATGATCCCCGTACTGAGAACCATAAGAGGAGCGCAATAGGATATCAAGCTCTCGTCAGTATGTCTGTTAGAGCTGGGGTGGCAAAAGGGATGTTGCTTCCCTCAGGTCCCCTGGCTTCCCTCGGCGCAAACTTGTACACCGAGAATAGTTTTTCAATCCTCTTTCCCTCGTCAAACAGTATCACTTGTCGACCGTTGTACACCCCTCAGCGAGAAAACGGTGGCAAAACATTTAAACGGTGGCACAACTGGGTTGGAACCCAGGACCTGACCAACGAAGTGATTATGGGAATGTATTGCGACCATGGACTCGACTCACATCCACCCCCGCGTGGGACACCGCTTAGATATTTCCCACTTGACTAATCCGCCTCTACCTTACTCCGTGACATTGTCGTAGCATGGGGAAAATCGACACAAAGGCCAAGCACAGGCGTCCTGTATCGGAGTCTGCGGTACCGAGCCGCGGTCAACGCAAGCGAGCTCTGAAGAAAGCATCGCTGATCAAGAAGATCCGCTTGACTTCAAAGCATGTCAGGCAAAGGACCGATGAGGTACAGCAGAAGTTTGTAGGTGGGCTCTTCCCTGAAAGAAACTGATGTGTCACACTTTCCGACCGAACTGTGTTGGTGGGTTACATTCTTTATTATTATATTCTGTCTTAACGTGCCCTACCACGAACCCGCAGGCTGTTGTATTTTGGAGCGCTAACGGCCTGTACCTTTGTTCGAAAAGCAATCAAGAGCCGACTCGGCCTTGTGCACGTATCATCCGCTGGATACCTTACCGTGCTGCATGCATCTTATGTATTCTTTTTCGCGATACAGGACAAAAAACAAGTACCGTCTGTAACCGCCGATGAAAAAGGGATCCCCGCGCGACCAAGTCTTGCTGCGAAAGGATCGGCGTTTCAACGAGTCAGCAGCAATAAGGGCAAACGATCTCTCATGACGTCAGAAATGGGTCAAATCAATGCCGTATTGTCAGCCCCGTCGTTCCAGCAAGATCCGTTCGCGGCGATTCAGGTGAGAACGCTTGCTTTCGCTTCATTGGCAATCGCCGAAAGTGATGGTTGTTGACTGCCGCGATGGGTGCGTTGATCAAATATGAAATGGAAGGGTAGAGACGTTTGAATCGAACCATGCTATCGTTTCTTCGTATTCCCATAACGGCGGACTTTCGCGGCGTTCATTTTTAACTTCCAGAACATTGCGCCAATTTGCTTTCACCAGGCCCATCTACGGCAAACGGCGCTCCCCACCCCTCCCATCGCTGACTGCAAGGCTCGAAAGCCTGGAAAGGCCAAGGTTTCTGCCAAGAGTGTAGGGCAGCATGCCGGAGAAACGCGAGGAGACAGAAAACCAAAGGTCAAACCTTACAAGGCACGAAATGCGAAAATGAGGTCGAGATGAGCGGGGGAGAAATGTGCACGTCGAGTCAAATTGAACATATGTGTATGGGATTTCTCGACGGCCCTTCATGGCGAACAATAGTGAGACTGGTACATGTTGGTTCCTTGCAACAAGATTGTTAAGAAATTTGCCCACCTGGCGATATTGGGCGGCTGTACCATCCTCGCGAACCTCTCGTCCTGGTACATTCCAACCTTCAGAGGTGCGGACGCCGCCAGAACTCTTGGGGATGGCCACAAAGGAGATTGCATGGCGCGGTGTGAGTCTGTATGTGTGCGTCTCATCTCCTCTTGACACTGGTTTACGCACGGTTCGTGCACAGCAGTAGTACGAAACATGTGCTTCATCGTTTTTGTTCTGTTTTAATGCCCCACCTTTCCCTCTGCAATGTGTGCTTAGTTTTATGTACGACGAGGGTGCAGCTGTCCGTTGCCCTGATGGACCGTAAAGTTGGTGATGCTCACGAATTGATCATTTTCCGATGGATAATTCCAATCATAGCCCGGGGGTAGTCCGGGCCTCATCTGAAGCCCTTTCGGTTCCGCGGGGTATGTTTGTGTGGGTTCGAGGACGATGTAGTTGCCCCCTGAAGATGATGGATAATTCCATTCATGGATGTGGAATGAATGAAGAAGCTAAGAAGGAAGAAGGAAATAAACACTATATCTCCCCGTGCTCGACTTGAAACCCACTCACTCGACGTCCGCATTATGAGTACGAAATGGAGCGGGCAAAAAGACAGGGCGCCGTCGGCCGTGACCATGGTATCTATCCGTCGTCGACAGTAACGGTAAGGCGAACATTTAACGGGTAGATGGGGAAGCACCCCGGTGGACAAATACGGGATAGAATGACCGAGGGCAGCTCCGATGGATTCATCGGCAGTGATGGAGCGAAGGTTGTGGAATTTATATTCGTCCTGGCATGTGTCTGCCACACGACGAATACCGCTTACGAACGGTCAACCGCGAAAAACAAATCGACATACATGCGGAAACGACAGTCCCTCCAGGCGAGGAGCACAGCACGAAATCCTGATACATGCGCCTGCTACGAAGTAGAACCCAAACACGGCGACGAGGGGAGTGGCCGCGGCAAGGCCAGGCGCGCACATCACTCATAATAGACGCAAGTGCACGGTGGACTCAAGACCGAGGAGGCAATTACACACGGGAAAATGAAGTTGAAAAACGCGGAAAGTGCGGTCCGATCAACAAACAAGGTAGAAAAAGAACGGGAGGCCAAGACAGGGCAAGGCGGGTCGGGTCTGCCCAGGTAAAGAAACCTGGTGGAGTCGAGGGCTACAATACGTCTACTAGGTACTAGCGGAGGTTAACGCAGTCCGTCCGGGCGAGGAAAGCAGGGCCGGCGATACTTTGAGGGATCTTCCGGGCATTGTTGACTGGACGGTGTCAGAAGTCGGCGACTGTCTTTCGTGGATGATTCTGAATCAACCGTGGGCGGGCATCCTCCCCGTCGTGGGTGCGGCGGTACTTGCAACCAGTGGAGGTTAAAACTGGGGGTATGATGAGGGAGGGGTAGTTCGGTTGTTCGCGCAAGGGGGAAATCTACGAATAAGGTATGCAGCAACGGACGTATATGCACAAGCTAACATAAGCGTTAGGACGATACTCGCAGGAGGGGCGGAACGGGCCAGGAGGGACACCTCTTCCAACTCACACCAATAACTGTCAATGGAAGCTCGAGAAACATCAACCGAAGAAAAACAACTTGCTTTCAGAGAAGAGACCGGAGATTGTCTACTCTACAACCAAGTAAATAAACAGAAGTGGGGTCGTTTTCGACTGTTAGGTTTTGAGAGTATCGGTGACAGAAACTGAATCCGTATCGGGCTTCAGATTTTTGGTTGTCCTGCCAAAAGCGGTGGCCCCGCTGGTCTCGTTGGTATACCGGAAACCTACTAGAGGTGAAGTTAGGGGTCCGAATCCCAGCGTAGGCGAGCTTTTCTTGCAAAGTGAGTTTCTCTCTCATTTCCGCTTATGGCCGTGTGGATATCGCTAGTTCGTGTGAACACAGCGGCGCCCGGGAATCTGCCAAAATTGGCAGGAACGAATTCCGTGCCAACACGAAAAACAAGGGCGCCCGGGAATCTAAGTACTGCTTCGTATTAGCCTTTGGGAAGAGGGAAGAGCTGTACTTGCTGTGCTAACCCTTTTTTGAAATTGATATCTGGTTCTGTAAGTAGGTTCTGCAGGCGTTCTTCGTGTTGGCACGGAATTCGTTCCTGCCAATGTTGGCAGATTCCCGGGCGCCGGTGAACACAGAGGGAACAGAGTGCTGAACTCTTTTGGCATAAAAAAACGAAGGCCAAGTACCGCAGGAGGGGAGGGTCGAGAGGGTGCTCTTCTGAGTGACGACGGGTTGGAGTAAACGGCACTGGTGCTGTGAGCGCTGTTTTGAAGTGTCGACAACTAAAAAAGAGAGGGCGTCGAACTCATAACAAAATATGCAAGTAGACCGACTGCAAACAAAATTCCGCCTGTTGAGCCGTGCTCCTTTGTTTTTCTTCGTCTGATGATGCGGGTGGAGGAACAAATGATTGTGATACAGACTCAAGCCTCGCCGTTGCAACCAACACGACCCGATCCCGGTCCAGAGAGGTTCAGTAATTTCAACCCCTTCGACGAGGAGACGCCGATTTCGACCTATGGTAGCATGGATACCTCCAGCACCAAGCTCGATATTCAATCCGTAATGCATGGATACCTGCTTTACCGAAGAACTAAAGTTATCGATGATGTGGTTACCAGCACACACCCGTGCATGCCCCCCATTTTCAAGCAGCTGCCACCTCGGATACGGACACTCCCCGTGGTCAGGACACTCTATAAGTACTACAGGCACAGATGGCTGCAATATGCATGCGGGGAAAACGCAGAAAAAATCTCTATGACGACCCCGGCTTGCCGACTAGCACCTAACTACGGTTCTGCCCTTGAAAGGGAGAAACATGTGGAAGGCCGTTACCTTCTATATTATGTATACCCCCTAAAACTGTACTTTCGGCGGGTCTTCGTTCTCGCCAAGGTGTGACAAAACAAACAAGTCCACTTCTTTGGAGACACAAGCTAACTGATTCGTGAGGACCACCTGCCACTGAATGCACAACGGGCGCAAGCTATGCTAATCGAAAATTGAAAACAGAAATTTCATGCACAGGCAAAAACACGCTTGGGGATTCTTTCACGCCAGGGAAACTGTGCGCGGGCGACCTGCGCCTTTGGTGGGCACGCCCTTGTCCCTCATATCCCAGGCGCCCATGATGCACACACAGTCTCCCTCAACGACAGTGGAACACACAGATGTGCGGATGTATTGGGCCTTCCGGAGCGGCAGTTCAATCTGTGAAAGAAAGCATGGGCCGAAAGCTGGGTTACATGACCAATCCGAAGGGAGCGATATAGTTCGAAGTAATCTGCTCAATATTGACAAAGCAACGCTCTGCTCGTCCATATTCCGCGGAAAATAGGATTTGAAGCGCCTCCAAATCCTGTGTGCGCATTTCCAACACTGATTAACATCCAGTTCAAGCTGCCATAGACAGGCCTACCTTTTCCACATCAAACGGATTCTCCGTGATGGTGTTTAGCCCGGCTTTGTCTGCGACCATGGTGAGCACCCATCGCTTCGGCCGGAAGACGTTCAGGACGTTGTTGATAATTGATCTGTACAAATGTTGCCGCGCGAAGTTGACCTCGAAAATGCGGGAAGATATTTTTCTCTTGATCACGAACCATGAAATCCGATCACGGCGTTTCGTCATTACGGAGGCGTTTGAGTTTCACTCCCGACCAGTAGCAGGCAACGCAACTGTGAGATCCTTGTTACTATCAACCTGCTGGTAGAAGTGTCAGCCGAACAACCAAAGCTATCGATGATGCAAATATGAAAGCAAGGGGTCTAGTCATCCAGTTAACGGAATCACAGCCACGAGTGGTTGAAATGAGTATCGATAATGGTCAGTAAACCTGATATATTTAAAAGCTGCAACGCTACTCTACTGTGACTACAGCACGCCTTTGGTAGCAGCACTGGGGGATAGAAAGGCGCACCTGTACGACTTGAAGGGGTTGTTCGTCTCAAAGCTCGCGTAGCTGCAGGATTCCTCCGGAGTGACGTGGATTGTGTAGTACGAGTCGTACAAGATGGCGTTCATTGAATACCTGTGCCGAGAACATCACTGCGGCTGGATGATGTTGAACATACAAATACGCGCAGCAGTACATGTTACAACTTGGCTCCTGTAGAAATCGCTTTCTCAGGAAACCATACATGCGCGGATTCCCGAACATTTTGCACATTATGTCAAATATCCCAGGCATGTCGCGTGTGCAACACAAATAGCCACGTTGCATGACAAATTGCTACTCTAAATTTTAGCCGAGAATATCACACCCGCATGGGTCGAACGCGAAGTCGTCCACAACAGCTCCAGGTACGAGCTCGGCGATCCCAGTTTTCTTTGTCATCTCTCGGCCAGTTGGGCATGCCTCCTTGTAGAAGTGCTTCGCTGTGTCCGGATGCATGTCGAACATCATCATGTTTATCTGATAGGGCACAAAAAGGGCAGTAAGACAGGGGTCAGCTGACTCTGAGCAAGTAAGCGTGTTGGCCTTCGGCTTGAGCAAGGTCAAATGCAGTCACCCTCCTTCTGTGCTACTCAGCTTAGCGTGCTTGACCTTTCTTCCCCAGAACCAAAAAAGAAAAATCCAATCACACCATCCTAAAAAAGGACACAGATTGTCTTCCTTTGTGCCTTAGTCTCACCGTGCGGTCCGTTGCGGTGTAGTCTGGGCGGTCGCACTTATCTGCGATGTAGACGAACCAGTGGTCCCCAGTCACTGGACCCAAAACATAGCCTGCCGTGACAGATTGGAGCGGGGTGACCCACAGGGTAAACATCTACGTGAGCGCCTCGGCCTCCAATGTTATATCACCCGATTGTGGTACAGCCACAGGCGTCAGAAATGATATTAACAGCGTGAACCTCGGCGCAGCTGCATGGAGCGCAGACCACAACATTCCAAAGGGTCTCACGCAGCAACGAACGAGGCTTCCACTCTGAACAATAGCAGCGGGGGCAGAGCAAAACCATGCGCGAGTACAAGCCTCAACCTTGACAAAAAAAAAACTGCTGTCCGATCCTCTGTATTGATACAAAAACGTGCGCGTATCGCGTTTTACGGCGCCAAGGGGAAGGAAGGTCTCAGAGAAGCAGCCACAAACCACGACAAAGCTTTTGTGATCCACGAATCCCTTCCAGGCATTTTGTACCTGCACCGTTAAGCCGCTGTTCAAGGTGCGTGTGCGCCCGTAGATACTGTAGCTCCTGCTCGAAACTGGAGTGGGGAAATAGCTGATCGCTAGGGAAGGTAAAGTTCTTGCGTGAATAACCCATCCACTCCAGCACCAAGCCCTGCTGCTCGAGCGCTGCTTGCAAGAGTGTAGCCACGCAACGCAGCAGGGTCGTTGTTCCACACGTCTTCATGACAACCTGGGGAAAAACAGTATGAGAAAAAAACCGGTGTCATTCAGTCGATCCACGCCAGCAATACGCGTCCACGACACATACAGCGTCATGGGGGGGGTCAGGGCCAGCTGAACAACGATTGCTGACGAGGTCATGCACTATACGGGGACAAACACATACGGCCGAGTTGCTTTGTGACGTAGAAGTACGAAGTTGTGCACTTGCCTTGTGTGGGTAGACGAAGAGACTGCTCTCCGACAGCACATACGCATCAAGATAGTCGTTGGAGATCTGGTGAAGAATGGTGCACTTTGCGCGTGAGCACATGCGGTCCAAGCTTTGCCTAGTCAATGCTCGACAGCCTTGCGGGTTTCCAATGCTTGGCTTGAAGCACACCTGCACCAACAAGGAAAGCGGTGTAACCGTGGCTCGGGGTTAATCTGAGGCAACGTGCGGAATGCCTAACGTAAAATCAACAATATGGCAAACGCGTGAGGACATTCCAGGTCTGTCACGAGGGGCACGTCGAAGGGCCTGCCGTCTAGGCGTCATTGGTTTTGACGGCATCATACGAACGAGGATCTCAAATGCCGGTAGGAGAGATGAGCACTTGCTTAAAAAATATATATTTTTAGTCGGATATACCCACGCTCCTGCACCCAACTAACTACTGCTTCCGACGATGAAGCCGGCCGAGGTAAGCACTCTTCAGCCTACCAGGATATACAATGGGGGCGCCAGCAACTCTGCACGCATCGATCGGTATCTCACCTCCAGAGTCTTTTCCGGTCCCTCAAAGCACCCGGTGTATTCTCTCTCTTCTCCATCTCCAGCTCGCGCGTCCACCTGCACCGAAGAAAGAGGGAAAACGATCGATGCGAGGGTCAAGGGGCACGTTGGGGAACACCCTCCCTAGATCCGTTGAGGTGGGGCCTTCATGCGCTCCGGAAAGTAAAATTGATAACTGCATCTTGCCCGAGGTGTGTGATACCTCAATCGATTGCGGATGAGTATGAAGTTCCTACCTTCGCAAGACACGCGAGCGTCATCTCTCGAATATCACAGCATTCAGTCCTCCTGCGCGCTGCTGATTCACGTTTAGTCTGGACCCACAACCTTGTTGTAAAAGTTCCACAATTGGCAAAAAAAAGCCCGAATATTCTAACGACAATCGTAGCCCACTTGTTTGACGCCCCGAGGAAACCATCCAGTGAAGAACCATCGTAATCGGAACATCGGTTAACGTATCGGGATACCAACGGAACATGTACCAGTTTTTAACCACACCGCAGGCTAGTGGCGCCACAATAACTAGGTCATAAACAAGCGGCAACAAAAGGACACCCGTGGTGATGACCAGATCCCTGACAAAAACGTGCAAGTACATGGATACCCCATTTCAATGCCTGATGCATGGGATGGGCGAACGAAAGTCCTTTTGAGAACTGGGGTACCGAGTGTTTTTCCACGCCGGTGGTACCTCTCTGAAGAGGGTACCTACGCATACGCCATTAAGAAAGCGGAGACCATGGTGATGTTTGGGAGATTGGAACAGTTGGCTGATCACATACAAAAGTCAAAACCTCCCTCGCTACGACGCAGCTGCGGCGTCCGTTCGAAAACTCAACAGCAGTTCCAAGTTTGGCATGAGAGAACAATCGTCCTATTATTTCTGTTGGCACACAAACCAACAGTCGCAGATTATCCGACGTGTGTGTAGTGGAGAGAATCGGGAACAAGGCAACCTATACCTACTCTGCCGAGAGAGAGACCATCATCCAGAAGTGGTGTTTCGATCATGTTTGACCTTACGGGGTAAACCATCAGAAATGAGCTGGGAACCACGAGGCGGTACGCGAATCCAGGTGCTGTACTGGATCGGGTGCTGTTTTTGCCGTGCTGCTTTAGAGGGAGCCCAGCTGGGGAACCGGGACTAACCATTGGGGGAAATTGTGCAAAAACTTCCTCAAACAATTGTATGCATACAGCGATGGACAGATACTCTGGACGAAACTCCATACGCATGTAGCGTTATTGCCAACAGGGGGTTTGGGAGGTTCGGTTTGCAGAGGGGGACGCAATTTCATGGAGTACCACGTAAGCTATATATGATAATTTCATGTTGCATTTCAGTAGTAAAAACATAACTTTCGTTGAAGGCGACATCACCTTGGCTAGCACGTCGTCTTCTCCAGAATCACTCAAATCTGACACTGGTTCTGTGGCAGAGCTAGTCCCGGGCCCATCAGAGATGCTACCTCCAGACCCGCCAGGCTGAGCTTCCCTGTCGGACCGTTGCGCCACCGGTGGTGGAGATGTTGTGACATCTGAAGGCACTGCAGAGCTCAAAACGTCCAACACCATCTTCTTCACAACCCCTCTCTTCCTCTGATCCTCACTTGCTGCCGGCGATGAACACTGCTCCCGAGCCCTGTCAGCTTGGTTCAAGGGGCTGGCAACCAAACGGACAGCAGTGCATTCGGAAGATCAACTAAATTCGGTTCGTACGCGTCCATGAAGCATTTGAAAGCATCTACAGCAGAATTCCATGGTCGATGGCCAGAAGTAGAATGATGTGTTGGAAACAGCGGTGCAGGTGCTACACAGAAGCACACAAACAGAGTGTGCTTTATAATCATCTCAACGAGGTCGGGTGCTCGCCTATCGTGTTCCTACCTACATGGTAGAGCTACCATGCCGAAAGCTTTCCTCAACCGCTCACCGCAAACACGCTCAATCCAAAGGCACCAAGGGACATTCCAGCGGCGATGATATCGTCCACCTCTAGCTCGTGTAGGACAGTCAGCGTTAGCATGAACTCTTGAACCGAAACCAGTCGAGGGGCGAGGCCTTCGCGTTAAGCGAGGCAGAGGGAAGGAGGTGTGACGAGGTGGGCTAGGTCGGGCGTGGTGTGTCGCGCGAACATGCAACGCACGCGCGGATCATCCTCGTTCACCACCCCCCCTCTCATATCTTAGGCGCGGAGCCTCTGCTAGCGCGTTTTCGAAGTTGCGGATCAACTTCTCAGCTTTACAGCAGGACGGAGGAGTGCTTGTCCCTTCTCCTGTCTCGCGCACCAGTCGCAGCTCCCACGGCTCGACATGGACGAAGATGCCGCATTGTCAGCCCTGCTGACAGCGCTCGAGGATCTTCACAACATCCGAAATGAGATGCACACATGTTTGAAGCAGGCAAGTGCTTCGTGTCCTCTGCGTGCGTCGTTGGGAGAGGATTCAGTCTGACAACTACTGCTGTGTTGTACTCGCGTTACTTCCTTGCGTATTTCTTGGCTACCGGCGTCGAGCACAGACTACACGGACTACTACTCTATCATATTACGATGTGATGTGGGATCCACACTAGAGCTGTGTTTCTTAACCCAATAATTTGGCCCAACGCATAGATAACTATGGTCCAGACCTGACAAGAACACGTGTGAATGTGCTATCTACAGATGTATTAGACGACCGTAAGTTGCATAAGATACCACACCCCTTGAACCCTATCAAAGCTTGGTTGTGTCCACGGCGACGAGGATGCACAAATCAAATGATCAAGTGATATGACCCCGTTTTCGAAAAGCTCTTGACGAGACAATTCCGACGCCGCCATATTCTAGTCAGTCGCTCTTTATGCTGCAGCGAACACTAGCTTTGAAAAACGGTCCAGGGGATGTGGTAGGGGTGTGGTACCTCGTGCGTTCGTCATTTTTTTTTCTCGCCACCTTTGTGTTGTGGTTTGTGGCGATCGCTTTCAGGGCTTCTTGAATATGGCCAAGGCAAGGAGAAGCATGGGAAGGAATTCCGTGAGTGTGCTGGATACACGGGAGGAATATGCTGCGGAGGTAACTATTGCAATGTGAGCCCGTATGTGATATGTATACTTACAAGTACTTCGCCCCGTTCCATGTAGTACTGAACGCCCAAATGGGGACACTTCGAGAACACAGCATTCAAATGTCTATTTACCGAACCGCAATCGCCCTAGGCTCCGCTGTGTGAAACGCACGCGAGAATCCTTGGTCTATCGTGCTGAGATGAGTGGTACGCTGTGTGAGGCCTCTCCTCGGCCTCTGACTTGCTGTACACAATCTCTCGAGCTGGTTGTCCCGTAGGTGGTAATACTGCTCAACAGTCCGGTACTGGAAAAATTGCAGACTCGGCTTCTGTGTGAAAAGTGTTCCCAAGTTCTTTGGGGACAGTTTTCATACTGAACCAAGTCACCCTCTGTCTAGGCACTCTCTGGTTACTTTGGCAGGACTGCTGTAGGCCCTCGGGCAGTGGCTGACATTTTTTTGGCGATGTTATTTGTTGAGGGAGGGGCGGCGAACTACTGTAGGAGGGTGAATATTCAAAACGTTATCCCGGAAATCCATGTATGCTACTGCTTTGTACGAAGTAGTAAACATGTGTCGTCCGCGGTCTCCAACAGCAGTCGCTCGTAGGTTACCCTCTCATGTACTTTTCACGGTAGGTTCTCGCTCTCAAGGGTGTTGCCTCGTCTACAGGTGGTAGCCTCAATAATCTGTGCTGTAGTTTTGTTTTGCGAGAGCCAGAAGCGGCTCTTGTCTTCGCTGCAGTTAAGGGACCGTAAGTGGTAAGTAAAATATACGAGCGACGGTTTCTGAACGGCATGAAAATATGAATGTGGACGTCTCTCCTTAACTGAAGAACTCCTATCCGGGTCACCCAGAAGCCTCCACAAGGCTACCTTCAACATATGACTAAGCAAATTTGTGATTCCTTGTCCAGAATCTTGAGATTTTACTTTAGGCTGTGCGACTTGTGTACGTACGTCGTCAGTGTCATACACCATGTCAAGAAGCAAGTACACAGGTCAGCTCTGTGTGGGAACAGCTGCAGCTTAGCTGCAACCAGTTGAGCAGAGCCATGTAGTTTCCAGCAGTCGAGCCATGTCGTGGCGGTGTCAGCAGAGGTGCACAGCAATCAATGCGGACCGTGCAGGGAGCCTCAAGTTAGGACCGGTGTTGGCATTGCGGCAAACACATATATCCGCATGCGTGCGGCATGTGGGGTTTCAACCAAGAAAATTACAGGAACTATGTAGACAAACGAGACAACGATTCTTGACATCAACCTAAGCATGAGGCAACAGCGATGTGACACCACGGCTGACCGATTTTACATAGGATAATCAGGACACAGGTGTGATAGTTAGCTCTCCGGGTGTAGCGATCTTAGGTGTAGAGGTGGCGAAAAAAGCTCGTATGAAGCTCCCGAAAATGGTGCAAACATACTCTATTAATACGCAGACATACATTTTCCCTCCGGTTGGTTTTTGCATGTTCTTGCATCACCCCTTGCCGCGGTGCTGTCTTTTGCCCCAGTCCCGAGGGAGGCCTTTGCATAGGTAGATACAGGGGTGGTCCGCGGTTCCATATGCGTCAACTTTATTCACGACCAAGATCGACTACTCGTTATGACAGCGCAGGCAACATCATCTCGCCGAGACTACGCAACGAACGGAATGTGTTCAAGGTTTCGAAGGCATAACTAGACCATCGGGGTAACCGGGTCCTCCGTTCAACTGGGAAATCTTAACTCGCAAACTTCTATTTCAGACTGGCATGTGGAGCGATCGCCTTCGACCATACCTCTGTACATGATTTAGTCTGCCCTCTTTGTTTTGTCACGCGTTGTGATGAACACCAGGTTGAAACTCCCCAACGTCTGTCGAGGACGAAATCCTTTTTTCCTCAATGGCGTCGACGAAGAGATGCAGGTGTCTACTTTTGGTTGCAAAAAGACACGGGTTCAAAACCCGCTGATCACCTAATTTTCTTCCGGAAAAAAAAAAGAAAAACGGTGGAAGTGGTGCACCCGCACACACGCACAGAAGATTGTTGGAAAAAAAAAAAGGGAGGTTCTACTCGCCGCCAGCCGGTCGGGTTCCGGTTACCCCAAGAAGACTTGTCTTGCCTAGCAAACAGGAAGCCTCGAAAAAGGGGGGGGTAATGTGGAGAACACCTTCATAAAGGTTGAAACTACCCAACGTCTGTCGAGGACGAAACCCTCTTTTCCACAGCGTTATGAGAAAGATATCTGGATCTTGATTTGTATTTTCCGAGATAGCATACACTCTTTTTGGTTTGCGGTTAACCCATGGAAAGTTTATTACATGCACCGAAGGTGCTGGGTAGCAACCAAATGTTTGCCGTGACAGGACAACGCCAGGATAACGTGGCTCTCTCTACCTTTGCCAATTCCAACCTAGAGAGGCGGATGATTCAGAAGGGCGACTGCAGGAGTCGAGGAGCGTGTTCTCGAGAAATAGAGTTGAGCCCGCTGGATCTGCTGTGGTTATCCGTGACGGAAGTCTGAGACAGCGCGGAGGAGGGGGCGCGCATGTGGAAATCGAGGAATCGTTGCTACAGCCAGATCAAGATGCCCCTGTGCGCGGCGACTCGATGAGCTTGTTCGCTACGTTGGTTCCACCGCCGCTGCGCAAATCCAAGAAGAATTTCACATCTGGTAAGCGCGTGTATATTTTCCCCTGATCGTGTCTTGTGTTCGTAGGCGGTTTTTCGGTGCAGTTGGTGTACTTTTGGTGTGGTTCTGCAGTCATGAACCAAGAACCTTCACTAAACATCGTTCTCGTCACTGCACACTGTGTGTCACCGCGATAACATATGCATAGGTGGAATGCAATCCAATACCAAATGTGTGTGACGCGCGTATTTCCATGATCATGTCTGTGGATATGTTTGCTTGCCTCCACCTGAGTGCACGATTTTCTCGCCGCAAGTTGCGCAGCGCAATATTTCCAACATTTGCTTCTTTTGAACTCTTGACAGTTTGGCCTTGTTTGTTTCTACTGCTTCAACCCGATATATCTGCCGCAATGCAGTCGTGGACTACGCCGTGGAGGCGTCAAATCTTGCACATCGCATCATCCATCTACAAAAGATGTTGGAAGCGACAGGACAGATGCCAACGGACCCAAAATGACACCGGGAAAAGTGTGAAATTGGCAATCACTCGGACCATATCGGTGTGGTCACTATTTGTGCCAAATGATGAGAGACAGCCTGGGACACAGCGTGGCAAAGGCAGTTGACCAAGTGGGAGCCACTGCGAGCAACACGTTCAGAGGAGGTGCCTCGTGGGCACATTGAACAGCTCGCCTTGTGAGACAAAATTGTTGAGGGGCAAGAGTGATTTGTGTTGTTTTTGTACCGAACCAAGCTGAAAATGACCTTTAAAAAGTGCGTCGACACGTGATCCATACCATGTATACTCGTGTTCAGGAGTCATGTGTAACATGCTCCACCTATCACGCCCCCAAAGCTGGCCGCCCTCGTTGATTGCGAGGGTCACGGCTGCGTGAACATAAGCAAATTTACATTCCTTTTGCGAGTTCGCTTTCCGCAAACGTGTTCGTGGTTTTCCTCAGGCGACTCGTGTACTCGTTGGGAATCTTGGAACTCTCGAAAACGGTTTGTGGGCGCGGTGGGGTCGTTAGCGCGCCGTGGATGTTATGGGACAAAGTAGTCCGTTGGGGTGATCATCGTGGAGCGAGGACAACGAGAACGACAAAAAGCAAGCTCCATGCCTTCATCGCGTGTCGTCCACACAATCTCTTTCATCGTACGTACTTGCACTGCACCTGCAAACACCGAAAGGCATGCTGCGACCGCAACTTGGAAATCCTGTAGATCAAGAAAAAAACGACAAAGCGCCCACCAGTAGCGGGTAATGTCACCACGAACTTATACGGGCAAGGAGCGCAGCCTAGGTCAAATTGTGCACTGCATACTCTCACCACAGCTGTGCTTTTTTTTTTCAACAAAAGCAGCTTCACAACGTTACTGCAGGAGTAGTCGCAGAGCTTGCACGACATCACCGTCCCTTTTCAATAACGCGGCCTTCGCTTCCTCGGCAGACACTTC